CGTTGCTTACTATTTTTTTTAACTAGTTAAAATCGCATGTCTAATATATATTATGATTATTCAACATTTAAGGTTAAATGATCAAGTTTTTTTTTCAAGCAAAAAAATTTGAAACTACTTGTTTGAATATTATTATAAAATTACACTTACTTGAAACGAAATTTTTTTGATTATATTATACTATTTTATGTTTCTCTTGATGCCTTTTTTATACTGCAAGATGAACTTTGCACTTGTTCACTAATTTTGACTTTTTAATCATTGTTTTTACGCATTACAAGGTTTAGTTTGGTAATGCGATAAAATTAATATTATAAAAATGCGATAGCCTACAGATTCGAAGTTACTACTAGTTAGCTAATGGTAATAATTAATAAATATATTTATGTATACTCGTTTACCGTAATAAAACGCTCATTAATTAAACTACGCGTGTATTTGTCTATATATATGTACAATACACACATATTTGCATATTTTACACAGCACGGCTGCAATGCATGCTCGTGATATTTTTGCGTTTAATTTTAGTAATCAATTCTTGATGTTACTAATCAGGTTTGGTTCATGCACGTGTACATACTATTATCAACTCGACATTTTGTTTGTTTGTAAGGTATACGCGCAATTCCATTTGGGAAGAAAAAAAACACATTTTATGTAAGCATATTGTGGCTAGAACACTTAGACGATTAATTGGAAACGAAATAATATATTTGAAGAAAAAGACTTTGAAACGCTCATTTTTTGATAAATATTATTGTTAAACTAGAATTAAAAAAAAAAAGATTCCACTTTTTATACATCACAAACTAGTGAAATATTTTCATGATGTACCGATTATTGGAAAATAAAATCTTTTTTTTTTTTTTGTTAAGCAATTTTAATAAATCCGTCTAATCAAACTGTTATTTACACTATATGTTGATGATAATATTTTTAAAGTCTCCGATCGTTGTCGATTTGTAAGTAAAATAAATTATGCATACTTAACTAGAATAAATTGTGTTAAATTAATTTGAACAATGTATAAATAACTCGAAAAATATTCAAAATCAATCAACAATGTGCGAACGATGTACAGGTTTTATATGTATATATGGCACGAAACAAATTGTAAAAGCGTATTCGGGAAATGCACCTTCAATGGTGCGTTGGCATCATTTTTTTTTGTTGCTCATTCTTTATTTGGCATACTTGGTTAACTTCCCCAAACTGACTCGCTCGGGATTATATATTTATATTTTACGTATTGTCTCTATAACACATGTATACTGTTTTTCTTAGTATAGTTGAAAAAAAAAAATCTATAGGCAACAAAAACCCTGCAATTGAATTACCATGGTGTACATCTACAATGAAACAAAACAAAAAACAGCTGTATTTTTATAATACGAAAAATCGTCCCTTTTTTTCTTCTCTAAAACAATGACTCGCCGATTTCTCACAAGTGGAAACCGCCTCTCTTCTCCAACACCCAATACAAAGTTCCGCAGCAACAAAACGCGCGCGCTTGACACGCTCCTATTTGTAGGTAATAATATATATGTGTATATATATATATATATATTTTGCTCGAGTTATCTCTCGCTCGACACTTATAATTTTTTTTCCCGCAGCTGTAGTTCTCGGATTTAGTTTACAGCTCCGTGGGGGCATCGTCTCATATCGACGTTGCGTGGTTGTTGTCGCCTCCTCCGCCGTTCTGGCTCTGGCTCTGGCCGGTGTGATGCGGAAGCGCCGCGAGCTCGTTTCTACTGAGGTGGTTGACGATACCGGCGCCCAACGAGTCGCCCACTACGTTGACAGTCGTTCTGCACCGGTCCCTGGAGAAATCGGAGCAACAATGTCGTATTTGTTCATAAATCATTACATTTAATATTCGTTTGGACAACAACAGGAAGTTTGGTAGGTCACAAAAAACTCTCATTGGTCAATCGACGCTGATTTCAACGCTGAATCAGCTCAGAAATCAACATGGAAATCAGTCATAAATACATCGTTGATTCGGTATTGAATCATCTGTGACTCATCGTTGATGCAGCGTTAATTTAGGATATAATTAATTTTATCTTTAATTTTGATATATTTGAATGCAATTTGATACCATATCGAACCCTCGTTATCTTGATTTAAATCGAAACTGAATCAACGGAAGTCTTGCGTCAAATTACAGTGAAATCATTATTGATTGAATGGAAAATAAATATTTTTCATACGCATTACCGCACAAATGAAAAGTTTTAAAATATGTTGTAGGTTTAACGTATATGATTTGAACATTAATTATATTGTAATAATTTTTAAGAAAAATTATGGCAGGCTTAACGAAGAATCAGTGTTAATTCAATACTAAATCAACGTTGAATCAACGATGTACTTCACGATTGATTTCAGGGTCCATATATTTACTGATTCAGCATTGAATCAGCGTTTATCTGACGTTGATTCAACATTGAGATTTTTAATAGGGATAGGACAACTTCATATCTTAGGCAATCAGTTATTTTTTTAGCAGTTCAATAAAGTATGCACGTGAACATTCTCAAAAAGCGAAAGAAAATAAACTCACAGCAGCCAATCGATGGCAAGGATCAAAGAAATATCCCCAGATGGAAGTCCAACGGTGTCCAGCACCATGACCATCGTGACCAGGCCGGCTTGAGGGATACCGGCAGCACCGATACTCGCCGCGGTTGCGGTAATACTACAAATGGACCAATAAGTAGCGCAATTCATCGTTGCTTTCATTAAAAAAAAAAAAAAAAAAACACTACATTCTTGTTGTTGCAGAACTGATGGACGCGTCAGAGAACCTGCCGCTGACGGCGCCGGGCTCGGAGAGTCCGCCCCAAGCGCTGAACTACTCGCAGATAGCGTCCGCCGCAGCGGCAGCGGCAGCCGTGGCGGTAGTGTCGCAAGCCGGCTCGGGTGCCGGCGGTGGAGGTGGTGTCAGCGGTGGGACCGGCAACGGTGGCAGCGTTGTTGGCGCAGCCACGATAGGTGTCCCAGAGCCAGGCGCGGTATCCAGCACGGAGACCCTGCTGCGGAACATACAGGGCTTGCTCAAGGTGGCCGCGGACAATGCGCGCCAGCAGGAGAAACAGATCAACTACGAGAAAGGTCAGTGGCAGGGCTTTTTAAAGTCACTCGAGGGCGCACTGCAAAACTACATTATCTACCAGCTCGCCTTACAGAATTACATTAGGAGGCATTGAGGAGGAGGAGGAGGAGGGCGTTTGCGTGTCTCTGATGTATGTCTGTCTGTCTGTTTGTGATGGGTGTGTACATTTTTGGGGCTTCTGAAGTGTAAATATACATACTTTGGGTGCAAGGTGGATTAGGAGAGGCTTAGAGAATTTTCTTTGTTGTACGGTAGGTTTTCTAGCGCCGCTCCTACCCAAAGATTTACGTGCTTTTTTATTCACTGACTCTCGAGGAAATTTTTTTTTTTTTTTTTT